ACTTCTCTCTCTTGGTACTCATCGTGGATCCGTGCTTTTCGTCACGTGCTGATCGTGGATCCGTGCTTTGGTGCATGATCACGTGCTGATCGTGGATCCGTGCTTTGGTGCATGATCACGTGCCGATCGTCGATCCGTGCTTTTGGTGCTCGGTGCTCAGCGTGGATCCGTGCTTTTCTTTGGTGCATGATCACGCGCTCATCGTGGATACGTGCTTTTCGTGCTCGGTGCTCATCGTGGATCCGTGCTCATCGTGAATCCGTGCTCTCTCTCTCTCTCTCTCTCAAGAGGACGGGCCGAGAGAGAGAGAGAGAGAGAGAGAGAGAGAGAGAGAGAGAGAGAGAGAGAGAGAGAGAGAGAGAGGCACCAGGCACCATCACCATCCCTCCTCCCTCTGCCCGTCCTCCGTTCCTGCCTCGACCCTCGCTCCTCCCTCCCTCACCCCTGCCCCATCGGCCCTCCCTCCTTCCTCCCTTTCACCTTCCTTCTTTCCTCCCTCGCGTTCTCCCTCCTCCCTCTGGTGGCGTTACCTTCCTCGGCCCTCTGTCCCCCCTCGCTTGGTGCTTCCTTATCTGGCGACGATATAGAGAGTGCATTCCGTTTTTCTCAGCTTTCTCAATTTGCGTTAAGGCTTAGCGCCACTTCTTTTTTCAACGTGAATAAGGGCATGTGTGTGCTCTCGCGCGTGCAGATGCACACAGATGCACACAGCGAGGGGTGTGGATGTGGGGGGGGGGGAGGGGAGAGAGAGAGAGAGAGAGAGAGAGAGAGAGAGAGAGAGAGAGAGAGAGAGAGAGAGAGAGAGAGAGAGAGAGAGGTTAAAGGTTCATCACGCTTTTTTGTCTTTTTCTATTCTCTATTTTGTTTTCGTACATGTGTGTGAGAGAGAGAGATAGACGGGGGAAGGGAGGAGGGTGAGGGGGAAGCCCCCGAGGTGGTGGGAGGTATATCCGCGCTAAGTGCCAGGATGTCTTTTGTCTTTTGAAATTTTTTTTTATTAATATTATTTTATTTTTTTTTT